AGCAGCAGCAGCAGCAGCATACCACCAGTAGACCAGAAACACTAGCACACCAGCAGGGGCAGCAAACCACCAGCAAGCCAGGCAACCAGCAGCGCAAGATCAGCAGCAGCACCAGCAGCAACCAGCAGCAAACCAGCAAACCAAAAGCAGCAACACCAGCAAGCTAGCAGCAGCAACTGCGCAAAGCAGCAAAGCGGCAAGCAGCAGCAGGCAGGCAGCCAGCAGCAGCAAAAGCAGGCAGCAGCCGCAGCAGCAGCAGCACCAGCGGCAGCGGCAGCGGCAGCGGCAGCAAGCAGCAGACCACCAATAGACCAGAAGCACTAGCACACCAGCAGGGGCAGCAAACCACCAGGAAGCCAGGCAACCAGCAGCACAAGATCAGCAGCAGCACCAGCAGCAAACCAGCAGCAGACCAGCAAACCAAAAGCAGCAATACCAGCAAGCTAGCAGCAGCAACAACGCAAAGCAGCAAAGCGGCAAGCAGCAGCAGGCAGCAGCCACAAGGCAGCCAGCAGCAGCAAAAGCAGCAGCAGCAAACCGCCAGTAGACCAGCAGCCCTACCACACCACCAGGCAGCCAACCACCAGCAAGCCAGGCAACCACCAGCAGCAGCAGCAGCACCAGCAAGCCAGCAGCAGCAACAGTGGCAGCAAAGCAGCAGAGCAACAAGCAGCAGCAGGCAGCAACAGCAGAGGCAAAGCAGCAAACCCGCAAGCAGGACGGAGCGACGAGCAAGCAGCCAGCAGCAGCACCAGCACCAGCAAACCAGGCAGCCGGGTCGCGCGCTTCGTGGTTCTCGACTTTGTTTGTGGCTCCTCAGCTTGTGTGCTGTGATTGTGGTTGCGCGTTGTGGTTGCGCGCTGTAAATGTGTCTTTGCGGTTGTGTGTTGCGGTTGCCTTTGTGGTTGTGTTTGTGGCTGTGTGTTTGTGGATGTGTTGGTGGTTGCGGCTGCGTTTTGTCACTGTGTGTTTGTGGACGTGTTTGTGGATGTGTTGCGGTTGTGTTTGCGGTTGTGTTTGTGATTGTGTGTTTGTGGGTGTGTTTGTGGGTGTGTTTGTGGTTGCGTTTGTGGCTGCGTGTCCTTGGTTGTGCGCTTGTGATTGCGCTTGCGCGTTTGTGGCTGTGTGTTGCGGTTGTGTGTTGGGGGCTGTGCGTTCGTGATTGCGTTTGCGGTTGTGTTTGCGATGGTGTGTTTGCGGACGCGTTTGCGATTGCGCGTTTATGATTGCGCGCTGGTTGAGGTCCGGAGGGTACCACAGCTAGCCGGAGCTCGCGGTTGAGGTCTGGCGGGGAACACTGCCAGCCGGAGCTCGCTGTTGAGGTCCGGCGGGGAACACTGAGTCACTGCCAAGCGGAACTCGCGGCAGCAGGGTGAGCCAAGACAATAACGTTCGGGTTTATGTTACTTCTTCTGGGCAAAGCTTGATGGGCGATGTTGGGTCGACACGCGAGTGTAACTGACCACAAACTACTTGAAAGAGTCCAGAGCACAGCTTGTCAAGAATCATCTGCTTTGTAAGATTCACTTTCAGCTGATGCGAAAACATCGTTGTTTGACATCCAAGGTTCCTCTCAACAGCATCTATAGGTTGTGTATACTCAAGGAAGAAAAATCTGTCCTTCTTACCATTTCTTATATTTGCAATAAAGCATCTTTGTGGATCAACTGCTGTCGAATCAAGAGGTCCATTTTTAATAGATAACAATTAAACAGCTTTGGAGAGAAGAAATTCGACCGTGTGAGATGACATGAACACCGTGCAGGATTCTACTAGCACATGAAAGCTGGGTTTCCGTCACATCCGATATGAAATTGATGTTCAAGTACCACAAAGCAGTGCAATTGCATTGAGACACGCAACATGTTTTGACCTGTCGCGCACTAGAACATCACTGTGAAGCACTAGACTTCACTGCCAGCGTAGTCTATTTCAAGGGGTGAGTTTTGCTGGCTATGTGGTGATTCATGAACGGGCACCACTTCCGAGCGTGGAGTGGAATCAGTTCACTGCCAATGAAGCAGTATTGATATATCCGCCGACCCCGGCCTGGCTGATGCCTAGGGGCGGCGCCTGGGACAGCGCAGCGAGAAGCAATGCCGGTAAAAGCTCTCCACTACATTTTTAAGCGGGCTCCGAAGGCGACGTTAAACAGCGCCCGGCCGTGGGTTGTTTTGGGTCTGCCACCCGGCCGTGGGCTGTTTTCTGCGTTCGGCCAGCGCCTCTTCTTATACCTCTTCTTATGGGCTTGCGAAGGCGTTCCAGGCGACCTTAGGCATTTTCGCTCCCCGTTGAAACTTCTATAGGAGGGAGGGCGTTTTGCTGTGGCGAGATTGCCGTTTTTGGCGTGGCTCCCCACCCGGCCGTGGGCTTTTTTCTGCGTTCGAGCGCCTCTTCTTATGGGCTTCCGTAGGCAACGTTCCAGGCGACGTTAGGCGTTTTGCTGTGAGACTGCCGTTTTTGGCGCGGTTTGCGGGCTGCCACCCGGCCGTGGGCTATTTTCTGCGTTCCGCCAGCACCTCGGCAGATTGTGGGCTTACAAGCTTCCGAAGGCAACGTTCCAGGCGACGTTAGGCATTTTCCCTCGTCGCGGCTCGCCCTGTTGGACTGTCTAGGGGCCACGGTGTTTTGCTGTGGCGAGACTGCCGTTTTGGCGTGGCGCGCGGGCTGCCAGACGCAATGCCCTGTCTACGATTCTTGGGCTGCTCTTGCCAATCACCTCTCCCCAGCTCCGGTAAAACGTCCTGGGCCACGTAACGCTTTCCACACCATTTTCAGCAGCCTCCGAAGGCGACGTTAGAAAGCACCCAGCCGTGGGCTGTTTTGGGTCTGCCACCCGGCGCGTGGGCTGTTTTCTGCGTTCAGCAAAAAACCTCTGGCAAAAGCTACACTTTATAGAACGGTCAAGGGGAATGCTTTCGCTTAAATTCATTACTTTTCTTCAGCGCCAGGCTGTCTTCAGGTCGTCCCTTTGATTTGGTCCCAGGTCTCGGAGCGATTGGTCTGCGAAGTTGCATCTGGCTTTTGGCGAGAATGTGATGACCTTGGTGGTGAGGTCTCGCTACACAGTGAATCATCTCGGACAAAGCCGACGTTAAAAAGAGGGCCCAGGCTTCTACTGGCTAAAAAATTCTAGAGGCCTAGATATAGAGAGAACTAGAGATGTCGGGGTCTAAAAACGTCGATGCAGAAGTGCGGAGGTCTAGCAGTCCTGACATCCACCAGAGCTAGCTCTTTACATCCGGAAATCTAGCATTCCAGAGGCCTAGAGATTGAGAGGCCTCTAAAGCTTTTGGGTTCTAGAGAGATCTATCGTCTGACAAGGCACGCGCGCAAACACACAGAGACGGTGCAATCGAGCCGAAGTCAGTTCCCACTGCACCGGACGCAACACAAAGTCCGCAACCCTCTTATATCTAGACGCCGTCCAATCTGCAACCAACCGACCATCCTGCAGCGCTTCTCGATCCTTGCCCGAGAAAAAGGGGTCGGCGGCACCAGGGCGTTAGCCCTACTCCGGCGACGCCGTATGGTGTCGCCTATCCCCCCTTACGGTGTTTTGTGAAATCGAGCTTTAAAAACTGCACTACCTGTAAATCCTTGAGGTTGGGCATGACTCTGCCTATCGGTTTGAGGACGCAAGTTGTCTGAGGGGATGCATGGGCGCTAGAAATTTGAACGTGACTGGTAAAGCTTTAAAACCAGGAACCATTTGACAAACAGGAGGCTGGCAAAGTTTGATTGAAATATCCGTCTCTGATCTTCCAAGAAGCTCTGAAAAGCACGGTGTAAACGCGCAAGGAAAAGCACCATTTTTTAGAAAAAACAAAAGAATTGGGGAAATAGTCCCTGCACCACAAAGCATGCTCTCCTGAAAGAATTGATCTTTCAGGGCGGCGCAGCGCTTGATGAAGTATGTTGAGATCATATCCGCCATTGAATCTATTTTCATCAACTGTCTGAGAATTGAAATGCTGAAGTGATCGCTGAAGCGCTGGTCACTTTCAGTTCGTTGTTCTTGGAACGCAGCCGTACGACTGCTTGGCCATCCCAAAGGGCTCCATAAAACATTGCCTTTCGCGGCAGCCAGTGTGCTCTCCTGCAGTCAGGAAATCCCAATAATCCCCTGGATGTTAGTTTGCACATTTGGCTGTTGGTTGTAGAGGTTAGCGCATCCACATGTTTCAAACCTTCAGTCTTTACGCTTGAGGATGGCTATGGCAGGCGCGCACTGATCTCTAGAGTGTTGGCTCAGAGGGGGGCGGGGGAGCATTTTCGTTTGGAAACGGAAATGCATATCCTGCGTCACGCGGTGTTTGGAGGGTAGTGGCGGTGGAAGAAGCGTGCAAAAACACGGTGAAAAAGCTTTGGTGTGGAGGCGGTGCGCCATATGATGGGGGACAGGATGTGATGTGGTATGTTGGCAGTGACAAATGATCCAAATTGTTGATATATACTTGAAAAGAATTGTTAGTTCGCCTTTCCATGGACCTGGTGTTGCAAATGACGCAATAAAGAAACATTATATAAGGAGATCAATCTACCGTATGGTACTTGTCAACTCCAGGTTTTAATGCGCATTGTGCAGTTCATAGAAAAGACTCTATGCTTCAACCCTTGAAATTTTACATGTTTCAGGGGTCCAACCTATATCCAACAATGCCTTGAGTTTTCCCCAAATATTTCTGCCATTCATCTCTAGGACATCATGCACATTGGAAAGTTTCGTCATCAGACTAGTTTTCAACCCCCTTGAACTTGTACATTGTTCAGGATCCAACATACTTCTTTGATTCATCCACTGGCGGTATTTGTCATCTCTAGCTCGAAAAGAGTGATTACAATAAGAACGCAATACGCATGATGAAAATCAAGCCTAGAACGGTAGTAAATGCGCAGGCATTGTTGGACATAAGTTGCGCAATTTCAAGGAAATCAAAAAGTACAGAGATACAATAGACTATGCATCTTACATGAATAGTCGATACACTAGACATCTAAAGCCTTGCTCATTCGGTTACGCGTCATCTGGGGCGTTGGCTTGGGCGTGAGTTACTTGTCCTTGCGTGCCCTCTCTCTGTCTCTCTCTCTCTCTCTCTCTCTCGCTCTCTCTCTCTCTCTCCCCCACTCTCTCTAAGCAAATGGCGCTGGCGGTTGTCGTCACGAAGCGACTTGAATAAATGTATAGCCATATACGAGTGTGGCTGCAGACGGGAGGTTCCCCGACAGATTTCAACAGTCAATGGTGTAAAAAAAAGACCCCTGAACCCGGAGCCTGCTGAGGGAGAGCCCGAAATCTTTGCTTAGTTGCAGACATTTTGTACTTCCAGTCAAGACGGTGTTTTTGAAGGATCCGCGCAGAAACACGTTGAAAAGCGCTAGATGTTACAGACGCAATGTAGCAGCGTAGCAGGAATTGGATTCCCCCATAGACCATAGAGTTCCGCTTCCAAATACAAACACGTCTTTCAGAACATGACCCGGAGGCTTGTATTGACCTGTGGAGCGCAGTGAAACTTGGACGTCCTTATTTCGCATTGGGTAAACGCAGTGGTTTCTGATGCTCCTCAACATCAGCGCCTTTGTGAGTCAGCCCTTTTTTCTCCTTTCTCAGCGACGAGCTCATTCACAGGTTCCACAACGCTAACAAAAGAAAAGATGCCGTGATGTAAGGGGGGAACGAATCTATCTTTTGCATTTTGTGATCACACTGTCAGCCAAGAACGAGACAACATTTTCATGAAAGCGCTCGAGACACGCGAAACGCAAGGGAAAACAATCCAGGTCCAACACTATGTCCAAACACACCTGACCTAAAGCCTGATGCCTGCAAACAGTAAACCTGGGAAAATGGTAACAAGGGACCGGGAAAAGAAAGCTCGTGTGGCCTACCTACCACAAACGCAACAACAGAACTAAACACAAAGAAGCTAACGACGAAAACGGCAACTCCCTCATGGAGCCAAAAACCCCGCAAATGAACACGGATGCTCATTGCCTCCCCACCCCCACCCCCGAAGCCTGGATATATGCAGTGGGAAGCTAAAGCCCATTGAAATATGTGATGGGAAGCTAAAGTCTTCGGAGAAGCCGTCTGCAGGGGCACATGTGTACAAAAACGCACTTATTGTCAGGAGCACCTGTTGTCAGCACCAGAATTAGCTTGCTGGTCGCAACAGAACCCAAAGTTTTCAAAGACGCGCAAAGCGGTTACTCTCCCACAGGGTCTCCTTCGTCTCCTTGTTCCCCTTTTTCTCCTTGCGGCGCCGCTTAGTTTGGCATCGGTGATTGAAGTTCCACTTCTACCAAAACTGCAACCCTAGAGAGATGTACAAATTTGGCGTCGTTCCACAAATGTGTATATGCCTCCATACACGTCACAATTCGAGGGTTATGAGTTATGAGAAGGAAAGCCAACTGTCGCCCACACAGTCCTTCCGCTCTTCTTTTATTTTCAACTCGGCTTTCACTTCAGATTTCACCTGCTTCCACATCATTCTGAAGCAAGATCAGCACTTCCTTCTGCTGCTCCAAAACATCCAAAGCACACGGAAAAATCAAAGGTTCCAAACCAATAGTTTGACCATGTCGTTGCACTTCATTGCCTCTGTTTTGCCTTCTTCTTTTACTTTTGGGTCTTCTCCCTTCACCTTTGATTACAGGCATGGTGGCTGAAAAGGTCTAAAAGTGGGAAGGCAGAAACCAACCACGCGATTTAAGTGGGAGGGCGGTGCCTTGATTGGGCCAAAAACGTTGACGAGCGCGCATGGAAATCAGGAAGCGCGACCTGCTGCGACCACCTATAGGCAGCCTTGAAGTAAACGAGCGCATTGCTGTTTCTTGGCAGATTGAACTGTGGGCTCCTCTTGTAGTGACACTCTACAAACTCAGCTACCTAGCAGTAAGTATCGCACCAAGCGCTTCTGGTCCAATGGATTGAAATCCAGGCCACTCCAAAGGCAGGACAACAGCCCCTGCGCCATACAACTCTACCGAGGGCTCACAAATGGCACACGCAGGCAGCATGGGCACAGGGTAGGCATATCTCTGCACTGTCACAGGGCTCCGAATGCCGCTGAAGCCCCACACCTGGCGCACACGCCCTACCAAACTTGCCCTCTTCTAGGGACACGGGAGCATGGTAGTAGGAGGTGGTAGTGTTGACAACATACACACCCGGCACAACCCTTTGAAGGCTGCACCCTCTTCTCACACATCCAGAGGAAGAATAGCGCAGGAACTGTCATCTGAAGATTTAGTGGATTCACACGTCGGCAACCGAGGGCTCCTCCTCCTCTCCTTGAACCCTGGTCGAGCATAGTATGGTCCAAGCAGAAACCAAAACACAACCGATCCAGGTCAGTGGTTCCAAACACAAACCAAAGCAACAAAGGCAACTGGCAGAAGTAAAAAAACTAAAAACTACACATTGCGCATCGTCGCATATTCAAAAGCTGAGTGCGAAAATGGCATCTTTGGCCAGAAAGCCTGATCTGGTTGGGCCACGTCCAAGCGCCTTAATACAACCGACGCACTTCCAGGCTTCCTGCTACACGCAGTACATTCCCACTATCATGTCATATTCATCTCCACCAACACCACTACAACCACCAGCGTCATCATCACCATCATGATGATCATCATCATCGTCCTCATCGTCGTCATCATCTGTTTTCTTTATGTCCCGACGTCCTCATAGACGAAGATCATTCGGCCTTGCGTGGCTCTATAGCTGAAGCTGTCTCAATAAGCGACGCGATGCGAAGGCGCAGGGAAGCAGCGCCTAATTACGCTAGTATACCTTGAGTGTTGCGGATACGATAGACAACAGTCACAAAGCCACCCACATAGGGGCAGTGGCCCGAGAAGGGTGGTCTTCGCGCAAAGTAGTCTGCCGCAAATTGCAGGTGGAGCCATCTTGTCAGACCTCAGAAGCAATCCAGCGCAAACCACGCAGGGTACGGAGGCCGTTGGGCACGCTCCCCACAGCTGTCCTCGTTGAAAGCAGCAGCCAACCATGCGCGTTGGATCGTGGTCGGTGGGATAGTTGCGTTTCGACGCGCCGACTCTCGACCCTTTGTGATTTCCAACTTGTCATTGCTTTCGTCTTCGAATGATACTTCCTAAGATGCCATCCGCGCACACGTCGCTTTGGCCATTGCATCTTTGCAGCCAACGCCAGCACAAGTTGAGCGCTCGCCCTGCAAGGCCAGGTCTTCAAGAACATTCGAATGCCGGGCTTGCCAGGTTTTACCTTTTTCTGTTGTGTAGTTTTCTGTTTCTGAGTGCGCCTTTTACACATTTCTCTCGACGCGCGCCGTACACCTTGTCATTGCCCCGCTTTGCGCCTGCAGGAAGCCTCTGCGCATGAAGTCGCCATAAGAAAGGTGGACAGCGTCTTCGGGCAAAGGCTGTCCATTGACGGAGGCAAGCGGCCGTTAAAGAAAGAGCCAGCTAGAGCCTCTGGGAGTAGGCGGTGTGATCAAGGTGACCAGCTGACTTGATGTTAGGAAGATTAGACTACAGTGACTACATTGGACGGACTTTCCACACCAGGCGATGAATCACGGGCCACATGGCAGCCCTTGCAGGTAGGAGAAAGAGAGTCTCAAACTGTCACTCGATGTAGGCACTCCGAACAATAAATTTTGCTTGATGAGCGGAGTGACAGCCATCCAGGAGCGACACAAGCGTGATGATTTATCTTGGCGTCAGGCTGGTTGAGCAAAAGATGCGCCCGGATGGGGGATCTCCATGGAGGATGCAAGAAGGTGGTGCGCCTGCCACCGGCTGCCAGCGTTTGGGAATCAGCACTCAGTCTAATGGCGCCAACGTCGCCTGCGACTGGCGCAGCCACTTGTAAATCTCCTTATGTCATGACCAAGTGGGGCGTGACACAAGATGAAGAAGCATTCCCAATGATGAAGCATTGAAAGTGAAGGCCATCGCTGCGCCGAACTGCTCAAATGCTTGTCAAGAGAGCAAGGAGGGCGTGAACGATGGCAATGGAAATGTCCAACATGCAAGACGCGCTTTGGCGGACAGGCGAAAAGTACAGTTTGCGAGACGCCTGGCAACGACGATAACGGGTCAGTACCATCATTCTTGATGACAGCCAAATCCCTCTCGACTCCAAGGCGATGTTGCGCAGCGCAACTGTCACACAATGTTGGCACAGGCTTGTCAAGGTCTTGGCAATACGTGGTTACAATTGGCATCGTGTGGAATCCTAGCCCTCTTGGTAATAGATCTTTTGTTCTGACGCACTCAGTGTAGGCTGGTGGGGCCAGCATCTTCGGATCTCCAACTTACGCTTGCGCAGACCAAGGTTCAATCACTGGTTGGTGAAGGAAGGCATGGAATATCCTTTCCTTTCTGATGTAAACGCCCACCCACCTAGCACGGTGCATGTGGGCGAAGCGGTCGTATGGAACAACCTCACTCCCCACAGGCTTCTCATCACGAAGATCTTCCCAATAGAGACATGGTTCAGCGGCCAACGCTGCAAGATTCCTCGAGCGCAGCCCAACCAAGGATCATGCAGGGAAGGTGGAATCAAGGAGAACACATCCATGGCGAAAGCAAAACAAGAGGTCGTTCATCGGTGGCAAACGACCTCTGTTGACACCTCCCTGGCCTTTGCAGGCCGTGAGGCGTGAGCCCAAGGGCATTTGAGCCCAGAAGGCTGCAAAGTTCACTCTGTTCTTCTTTCGCATCATGAACCTGCCATACAACTTCAACACACACTACACTACACCACCATTGTATGGAATCAAATTAAAACCCGGGTGTCACAATACCGTCGCCGTATACACCATCACAGCAGACGAAGTGCTGACAGGATATCTTCTGCCTCGCAGTGCAAACAGCCACCGCAGTAAACAACCGCCCTCGTGAGCAACTGGCAAAACCCAATTATTCACGTTGCGAACGTTTAATTGTTCATTGCTCATGAATAGCCATATAAGTCTTTACAGCTGCTAGGGTAAGAAAAAGAAACTTTGGACGGCCTCGCCGTTCCCAGCTTGCATGCTACCATGATTGTCAGGTTCCATTCAACCAGGACAAAAACTAAGTCTGAAACACTCTATATATAGTCTGTGATGTTCTTTCTTCTCTCACCAAATGTATCAAGTAGTGGAATCTTGCAAGAGCAGCGTTCAGTGTCGCTTTTGCACGTGTGAGTCTGTTTTGTATCAGTTTCATCTATGCAAACTCAATGGCGTTCAATGGGCACAACAAATTCTCGCGAAACGGAAAATTGCATCGACCTGAAAACTCGTGAAGTGGAAAAGGACCCGTCTCTCCCTTGTGGTGCACTTGATGTGGCGCACTCACCTGATCTTTGTCCGCGCCTTCATTGCAACTGTGAATTCCTGAGCTGCTCATTATGCATGCAAAGCTGGGAATTCACAATGTGAACATCGGGCTCTTTGTGAGCAGTCAAAGGTCCAACAAAGGCCTATGGCAAACGCAGCAAGTCAGGCCAACATGGTCCAAGTGGCGGGTGGTGGCGCTGGTTCAGAAGCCTGCTCCTTTCAGGCCCACCCATTCTTCAGGTACCAGAGTAATTCTTCATGGAGAAAATGTCTTTCAGACCTTGTTTAAAAGTGACCTACCCCTTGCATCTCACGCCAACGAACGATTTACAAAGAACGCAAGTCATGCAAGGGTGAGTGCAAAAGACCATTCACACAAAAGCCGGGTGCGTCTACTTGTCAACTACGTCACAAAACAAAACTTTCAAAAAATGCTAAAGCAAGGCTTGGTCTATGGCCTAAAGCAAAACCAACGACATTGACCCAGCAACAGATCTGGATAGCAAGCCGATTGCCACTATGCTTCAGCCGTTTCGAAGGTATACAAACCTCCCACACTCCAAAGTACAGCAGCAAAGCTGCTCCGTGCCGCATTCATCGCTGACAGCAGGTTATAAACACAAAGCGACAGTCTTGCAGGAAAAACAAAACTCCTAACTTCACCCCCAGGAAACCCAACAGCGACACTGCTACAGGACACGACTATGACTATAACTATGTCATTGACATGAGTTCAACATAATTAGAAGCAAAACACTCTCCAAGCATGACCCAACAAGCGCGCCCTGGGACATCTTTCTAAGCTTGCTGGCGCTGCTATTGCGCGGAGATGGCACTGAACCAGTGGCAGCGCACCCTATGAGTGGTTCCACTAAAGGCTGCTGATTGATTTAGGATATATGTGCATGTGTGACGTGTGATTGCTTTGTCAGCAGAAGCATACTATTCCACGTTCAATTGACTTGTTCTTTCTGTGGAGCTGCTTGTTCCAACAAACAAAAGGAATGGCTGTGGACCCACACGCATCCTACCACCTAGCAATGCATAACCCCAATCTTGATGCTAATGGGGAAAAAGAATATCGATTCATCAATCAATGACGTCAATTTGTTTTATTCTCCTGCATCTTCTCGTAAAAAGCGCGCAACTCTTCATCCGGCAGGGCAGACTTCAAATATTGCTGCAAGCGATAGTCTTTGCCTTAGGACGCAAACAGCGGCAAACCTGGTCTTCCTTTTGCGGTCAACACAGGTTCTATCCTTATATATAATTCGTTTTCGTAACCACCAGAATACTTGTCACAAACAACACGATCTTCATATTTGTGGTAAAATCAGCAATCCAAAACCTCCTACAAAAACATTTTACACGGGGGCAACTTGCCTTTGTGATGACTTCATCTGAAAAATGAATTTCACTTGCATATAACTACTTCGATGCAATTCTTCGACGCAAATTCAGTCAAGATCAGCACGGTCAATCCTCGACTATACAAACTCATGATAGCTCTTTGACACTTAAACACTGACAAGCTCTGGCCTATGTCAAAATAAACCTCTCACACGCTGTATGCAATGTGTATCTGGACACTCTGCATGGTTAACTCTTTGTTCCATAATCATCAAGCTACATGGCCAAATGAGGAGAAATGGTAAACGTTTCTAGCTCTGTTGAAGGGAGTCCCAACAGCTAAGCAGAATAGAAAAGTTGGCAAAGCCAATATACAAGAGCAGAACGATCTTGCGACAGCCACACACAAGGTAAATATGTGAGGTCTTCGTCTTAGTAGACAAAGGCAACATTCGTAAGATCTCAAGCTGCTACAAGACTCCCCCAAGCCCCATGAAGTGCGCAAGGCTTTTGAATCTCTAAAAGGGTCTTTCGGTTGGTTGGCTCGATGGCTTCCAACTTGGCTCTAACATGACTCCAAAGGGTTTCCCTCTGCACTCCCCCTTTGGGCTTTGCCCAAACCTGCTAAAATGTGTTCCAGGCTCAAGGCCCTCCAAGCCAATTTCATGGCCACTTTCAGCCGTCGTAGGCCTGATTGAATGCAAATTCATCCTCACCGTTATTGATGGGCGGGTCATTGTGTGGCGGATGCCACCACGGCTCTTCACATCGACCATAATCTTCACCATGCCCGCGCCACCACGCGAGCCTTGTAGGCTAGTAGTGTCAGGAGGGGTTAAGGTTCCCCGCAGAGAGTTCATTGTGGGCCTGCTCCCTTCCACGCACTGCGGGTAACCCTCTCGCACCACTCTCGGGCCCACCCCAGGGATGGTTTATTTCCCTATCCCATTTTGATTTCACCCGCTTTAACGTTGATGCACCTGCCATCATCAGCGCCACCGCGATCACATCGAGCGCCACAGTGTACTTCTCCGGACGAACTAACAGCACCGCCAGCGAGAGGACAACGCCAGCCCCCCATTCACGATCTCCTTCAGCAGGGGACTGCAATAATGCTGGCTGGTTCGATTTGTCACGGGTTGACGGCTGAGGCCGAACTCCTCATACTATATGGAAGTGCACCAACTTGCTGAGGGAGCGGCGACATTGGTGGAATGCTTTACAGGGATGCGGATCCAGAGATGCATCTATGATGACAACAGAACCGCTCTTCTGAGGTCGTCGGTGTATCGTGAAAGCGGCTGGGCTGCTCATCAGGCGCAAGGCAATGGACCTCTGCAGATGGCCTCGCGAAACTTCTACACGGCGCTCCTGGTCCAGCCAGGAAAAGCTTCACCTTGAGCGAGTCTCCCTCCCTGTTCACCACGATGGGTCCTGGCCAACGCACCACACCCGTAGATCGCCTAAAGGGCCTAAAACGTCAGTTCCACGGAGGCTATGCGTGTTTTGGTCAACTTGACTGCACCTTAGACGTCGTCGATCAAGCAGTCCACGGATCCACTTGTCATCTCCGCTGTTCTGCCTGTCGTGCAGGAGGTGTACCCAACGGCGCCAGAGGCTCAGATCTCAAAGCAACCTTCTCGCTAAGGAGGTTGACAACTTGTTGACGTAGTTCATTGTTTTGCCTGTGGAGTTCTTCGACGACTTGTATTTCACAATCTCGCTGTAGGTCATAGTCCACGGCAGGCTGTTCTCTGCGCACTCTGCGCATCGCCATGATCAAGCAGAGATTGAACAAGGCCTGGAACCGCAAGGATACTCAAGCTTCGCAATCTGCAACATAAACTATGAATCCATTGAGTCGCATCCAGCCTGTGGCACTTTTGGAGAGCTGCGGTATCCGCACGCTTAGGCAAAGCCTGGCCAAACAATTTGGCCACCACATAAGCTAGTGATCCCCGAGGCAGATGGCTCTTTCGCTGATCACTTGTCAGTGCAACGTGTTGGTGAAGCGGTGTGGATGTTGGGCGATTCAGGGCGCTTCCTTCTTTCAGGACTTGGCCTACCGCCATGATGGCGACTGAACCTCCTCATATTGGACTTCGAAGCTGGAGATACATGGTTGACCATGAGTTGGCAAAAGCCTATACGTCGCACACTGAGGCGCGGAAGAAAGTGGAAGAGAAGCTTCTGTCGAAAGAAGGTGGCAAGGGAAAAGGCAAGTCATCGTTTTGAAGTCGCTCTCAGGGTCCAGTGGCAGTCGGATGGACCTTACGCCTGCCAGAACTGAACGCGCAAGCCTCTCCGATCGACGAAGAGGACAGACGAACCCATTTGTACTTGCATCACAGTGTAGTAGCCACGCGGAATTTGGGGGAAACCCTCTTCATTCTTAAGTGGAAGTTTTTGACACCACCAGCCGGTCGTATCGCCACGGTGATCGCCAGGATTAGAGCATACGAACCATACCGTGAGCGCGCATCCCCTGAACTCAAAGTTTTGAAGAAACCTCGAAGGTCGCACCATCAGCAATGATCCACACAACGAATCGTTTTTCCAGTTCTGAAGCATGTCCTGGTTCGGAAAGTCAGGCGCATGATATGTGTTTTGCCTCTCACACCAGCTTCGCTCTTGCGCGCTTAGGGCCACATAAAGACTGTCATTTTGGCGCCAACCATGTCCTAGCGTTGATCGAAGGACTTGGACCGGCCATCCGACGCAATCAAGCGCTGTTTCGATTTAGTATTCAAGTAACGCTCCCAAGCAACCACGCAATCGGCCGGTTGAAGCTTCTGGCGCCCATAGTTTCCGGAGGGTCACCGTTCTTACTTTCGAACATGTTGATGAGAGCCCTGGAAGCTGAGATTAACTGCATCAAAGAGTAGAGACCGTTGAGGGTTGGTCAGTCTGCCTTGCGCCATCCTGTCAACCTGCAGCTTGCCTTACCTGACGAATGGTAGTTGGCAACCCGAGCGCTCAGCGCCTCGCAAACGACCTTGGCACGCTTTCACATGGATGTACACCATGCTACAAGAAACAAATACAGCAGCATGGGGCACTATCAGGGAGGCGGCCCAGGATCCTGAAGACCTTCACACCCTCCCCGGACGTTAACTCGAAAGTCAAACTCTCCCAGCCCAAACGAAGGAGGATACCCTTGATGGCATGGTACCACTGTCTTGCAGCATCGTTCACGCCATATTGACTTAGTTTGAGAAGTGCACCTGGTTGAACACCTGGGATTTGAGCCTTTCCCAAGTTCTTTGGCGGTTCAAAGTACAGCTCATCAATTTTCAATCCCTGCAAAAAATGCTCCACGAACATCGGCTGCGGTCAACTTCATGAAGCGGGAGGACGCAAGGCTCCAAATGACCTGAACGAGCAGTGTTGAACATGTTGGCGACGAAGGGATTCGTCATACTCTTCCTGAAAACCTCTGCCGACCACCCTGCACTTCAAAAAAAGTCTTCTTTCTCATTTTCATCTCTTTTCTCATCACCCTTCTTTGTCCAGACGCCTCGTGATGATGAGATCACTTTCTCTGGACTGGCCTCCCTGATCTCCTGGCTTTCATCAGGGGGAACGATGTCTATGGCATCAAAACGTTGCCAAGTCCCTATCTCTTTCTCCACAACCTTTTGGATGGCCTCTTCAATCTCCTTATCCGTGAACTGCAGAAGCTGGGACTTCATCTTTTGAGGATGCAACTCTGTCTGCTTGTTGCGCTTGGTGTAGGTGTCAAAGCGCTCAGCCAAAAAGGCAACACACATAGTCTCCTCCTCTTCTGGGGTCAAAGTGACCTCTGAACCATCTGAACCTTCGGCTCCTTTCTCATCAATCATTCGTCTGATTGCCCCTCGGATGGATTCCGGCACATCATCCAAAAGCAATTCATTATCCAGCATTCTGTTGGGTTTGGGAATCTTCACGTGTCTTTTTCCTCTTTCTCCTCTTCTTGCTGGAACTCTCCTTGATCTTCTTGGGCCTGCGAAGACCTTTTGTCCTATCTGCTCATCTGCTGCTTCTGTCGTCTCTTCGGTTTCTTTCTTTCTCTTTTCACTTCTTTCAATCCTTCTCATCTCCCGGACCTCCCGGGACTCATCACCACTTGAAGTGCACTCATCTTGGTACGTCTTGATCATTTCATCTTCATCTTCTTTTGACGGCTTTGCTTGATCATCTCCAGGAGGTTCTGAAGGCTCACATTCATTGTTATCTTCGAAGTTCTCCTCCAGCTCGATGGGGTCTTGTGGCTTTGATAGGTCTAGAAAGCCTTGCTGTCCTGCCTTTGGAAGCAACTGCTGTCATCTTCTAACATCAGCTCTTGTTCCTCACCTATTCCTCCCTCGTGTTGTGACGATGTGCAAAAATTGGCACGCCACGATGGGTGGTCCAGTAGCCTTGAAGATCTTTGCCAATGACTCTGGCTGGTCCATGCCGCTGCCACTGCTTGTACGCCTTGCGCTTTAGTCCCTTCCTCTTGTACATCACGAGACTGTGCGCGTCGAAAGGGCCTGGTTGTTGACGAGTTTGCGAGAGCAGGGCACGACGAAGCGATGCGGAATGATTGGCTTTCACAAAAGCAAGTGCACAATCTTGGAGAAGTTTCATCCGCTGCGCCGTTGCAAAATGATCTTCATTGTCAGGAAGGGAGTCTTCTGCCATCTCCATGACTTCTGGTAGGTTGGGTACTTCTTCAGCTGTGTCTCTGACGTCAAAACTGAGCCAGCGCCACAATCCATCATGGCGACATCATCCGATGATCCAGTGGCGTCTTCCACTGCCAGCTGAATCTCGTCCATGACCATGTTGATGTCGGACTCAAGGTTGGTTTCGGCCTTCCTCTTCGC